GAGCAGGCATTTTAAAATAAAAGGTTCTTTTGTAAACCACCCTACTGAACACCCAATTCTTGTTTGTAAGCAGCAGTGGCTCAGGTGTCAGGCCGTCATTGTCCGGTGGTGCATTTAGGAGGAGGTTAACAAATTACCAATATTGATGTAATAATAATGAAGTAAGCAAGGGTATTCTGATAAACAACAGACAAATAAGAGTTCGAGGAAAATCACCTTTATTTCATAACTTAAGTTATGGTCCCCAGTCCAGGCGGACTGAGACCCAGTATACAGCTTGCTGCAGGCTTTTATAGCCTTTAGTCAGTCTTGGTTGACCACAAACTTGACATGAGCCAACAGTGTGACGCGGCAGCTAAAAAAGCCAATGCAATTCTGGGCTGCATCAATAGGAGTATAGCATCTAGATCAAGGGAAGTAATAGTGCCACTGTATTCTGCTCTGGTCAGACCTCACCTGGAGTACTGTGTCCAGTTCTGGGCACCACAGTTCAAGAAGGACACGGACAAACTGGAACGTGTCTAGAGGAGGGCAACCAAAATGGTCAAAGGCCTGGAAATGATGCCTTATGAGGAACGGCTAAGGGAGCTGGGCATGTTTAGCCTGGAGAAGAGGAGGTTAAGGGGTGATATGATAGCCATGTTCAAATATATAAAAGGATGTCACATAGAGGAGGGAGAAAGGCTGTTTTCTGCTGCTCCAGAGAAGCGGGCACGGAGCAATGGATCCAAACTACAAGAAAGAAGATTCCTCCTAAACATTAGGAAGAACTTCCTGACAGTAAGAGCTGTTCGACAGTGGAATTTGCTGCCAAGGAGTGTGGTGGAGTCTCCTGCTTTGGAGGTCTTTAAGCAGAGGCTTGACAACCATATGTCAGGAGTGCTCTGATGGTGTTTCCTGCTTGGCAGGGGGTTGGACTCGATGGCCCTTGTGGTCTCTTCCAACTCTATGATTCTATGATTCTATGATTCCCTCCTCCTTCACAGAGAAGACACGAAAATGTCTTATTGGTCAAAAGACAAGCCATATATGATGTGGGAAGCCCCAATTGGTCAAAAATCTGGCTTCCATCATTCCTCTTAGATCCCTTGCCAAGAGATAACATACTTCCCCAGTTGACAGCTTCACAGCTTTCGTGGGTGACACTGACCTGACCCTGAGCTAGCATGCGAGGATATCTAGCTTCCTTGCCAAGATTCTCGCATGTTCAAATGGTCAGGTGGGTTTAGTTTACTCACAGCTCATTCCTCACATGGTTCTAGCCTGGGTCTGCATAACCTTTGTATGAACTTTTTAGCTTAAAGTGAACTGTAAGCTACATCAGAAGGAATGTTCCTCATTTTACATCCTTTTGTTTTGCAGGCCTAGGGATCATTTGCACTCAAATTGGTGGTTCAAAATAAATTCTGATCGACGCCTCCTACAATAATATGATAACATGGCAGGCCAGCTAGCCACCAACTGCAGAGGTCAGGAAATTTCCTCTAAAAAGAAGTTTAGTGATTTAATAATAATAATAATAATAATAATAATAATAATTTATTTGTATCCTGCCCTCCCTGGCCAAAACTGGGTTCAGGGCAGCTAATATCTAATATATAACATTGGTATAAAATCCAACAATAATTAAATTGCCTCCTAAAAACAAGTCAGGATCAAATTAAAATCTAATTAGAAGGTTTTCTGCAAGATTAGGGTTGGGCACAGTAAATGCTCATCAGGTCCAACTGTTTATGCTGTTCTTATATGGGCCTATGAGAATGCTAGGAGGCCTCTTTCATACAAGTTCTTATACAAAAAGTGAGGGGGAATCAGCCTGAGCGCTGACCAAAGGCCTGGCGGAACAACTCCGTCTTGCAGGCCCTGCGGAAATATGTCAAATCCCGCAGGGCCTTGATTTCTTGTGGCAGAGCGTTCCACCAGGCCGGGGCCAAGACCGAAAAGGCCATGGCCCTGGTCGAGGCCAGCCTAATCTCCCTGAGGCCCAGGATCTCCAAGCTGTTATTATTTGCAGACCATAAGGTCCTCCTTGGGGCATACCAGGAGAGGCGGTCCCGTAGGTACGAGGGTCCTAGGCCGTATAGGGAACACTGCCATTCCCACATTTACTACCTCTGATTTGTTTGTTTTTTAACTTTAATCTGTTCCTGGAAATGTTGAGTTTCTTCTTCCACTTTTTCCCACCCTCCAATCCCACCTGAAAAAGCTTAGACGTGAAAGCTCCAGAACCGTGCTAATTATTTGTGCCGTGACAGCTGAAATTTGGATTACTGCAATGGGGTTTTGGAAGACATCCTCCAAAGCTCTCCATAGAATATGATTAGAAAGAAGATAGAAAAGAACTATCGAAAATGTATAAAGTGGACAACAAGTGTTGGAAATGTAAAGATAAAGAGGGCTCCTTCTACCATATGTGGTGGGAGTGTGGAAAAGTGAAACAGTTTTGGGGAAAAATTTACATTGAACTAAAGAAGATTTTAAAATACACGTTCACAAAGAAACCGGAAATCTTCCTATTAGGGGTACTGGGGCACGAGATAAAAAAGGAAGATTGTAGACTAGTATATTATGCAGTTACAGCAGCAAGGGTAGTCTTAGCCCAGAGGTGGAAACAGCAGGAAATACCAACGGTGGAGGAGTGGAGATTAAAGCTATTAGACTACGCGGAATTGGATAAATTGACAGGAAAAATTAGGTATATAAGAGACCAAAAGTTCATCAAGGATTGGGGAAAGTACGTAGATTACCTGGAACATATTAGTGAGGGACAAAAAACGCTAAAGGGATTCAGAGATGTACTGTGAAAGACTAAGAGCTATTGTACAAAGAAAATAGGAGATAGAGAAAGGTATAATGGCAATAGAAGCCGGGAAATGCGTAACTTTATTGACTACTTCGAATGATTTACGGACAAGCTGAAGGAAGTCTTGAAAGGGATAGCGAAGTAATTGGACTGATGTGAAAATTATAAATTTGTGTATTTTCCCCCCTCTTTTTTGTTCTTTGTTTGTTTGTGTATTATTTTCTTTTTGCTTTCTATGTTTATTTTTGTGTTAGTTTCTATTCTCTTATGGAATCAACCAATAAAAAATTTTTTTTAAAAAAAGAAAGAAGATAGAAAAGAAGACCGACAAATCCATGAACGCTTGAAGCCGGCCGTTTGTAACTTTAGACTTCTTTTAATCAAAAATTCATTCCACAACACAGGTTTGAGCCTCCAGTGAGATTTTGCTAGCGAAGTAGCAACATTTGGGGAAGGGAAGGGGGGCAGAGATAAAGCGTGAGAAAGCATTTAATCTGGAACACCCCAAGCACATGTGCTTGACGGTGTTCATTAATGAGAAATTAAAACAAAAGGATGTGAGCGCATTTGATTGCTGGAACGGGAGGTTTCGGCTTTCTTGAAAGAGAGATTTGTGCTTAAAACCAAGACTAGCTCAGCTCACAAAGTGCTGAGGACTACCGCTGCCACCATTTCACAACCGCCTCAAGAATATGAAAGACGAACACCCCTGGCATATTTACTTGCTGTTCTCTTGGCGGTGGATCTCACACAAGTAAGGGAATGTGTGAAGTCATCTGCATGCAGCAGTGGCCCTGCTGCTGCCCACATCATCTGGTTGTTACCACGTGGGTGGAAAGGCTTCTCTCATTCCCTTATACCAGCGTGGGAGAAATCGCCCACAGAGGAACCAAGCACCGTGCTGCTAAGTCCACTTTTACAAAGGAAGGAGGTCCATTCTTCACAGATGTGATCAGAGGGGTACCAAAGGGTAGACAGGAATGAGTCATTGCACTAAACAACCGGAAGGGTTATTACGGAAGGGACAGTGAAAGCATAAGAAGAAGCCTGCTGGATTGAACTAAAGGATCGTCCAGAACAGATTCCTGTTCTCACAGTGGTCAACAAGATGCCTATGGAAGTCCACCAGCAGAACTTGAAGACAATCCCCCTCTCTCACTGTTGTTCTCCAGAAACTGCCTCTGGATCCTCTGATACTATCATGGCTTGTGTCCCACACAGCATGAATGGAGTTCCACTCGTGTGATGGGATTTCCCCTTCCCCTCTGGGCAGACTCTCAAAATCTGATCCAGGAGGTCCTCCAATTATCTGAAGCATGTCTTGAGGAAGCATGAGGTACTGCGGGAAAGCAGAGAGGAGGGGAGAGCTCCATCGCAGAAGTCTGTTATGACCTCCATAACCAGCATCCATGACCTCATCCTCTATGAGTTTGCTTGTCTACAATGGTGGCATCGCTACATATGGTGGTGGCACATTCCATAATGCAACTGTGCACTATAGCTCAATGGGAGGTCTCCTGTGCAATCCATTTCCAAGGGGGTAGCTTTGTTGCAGCAGAAGGAAGGATCTTGCTTAAGACTTGTCATGTTGGCTCCAATTCTGCCGGCACCCTTCACCACACCTGAGTTCACTATTACAGGAAACCATCATCCAACATGAGCTTTTAGACTCCTACCAATTGGGCGCAAGTTCCTTATCCCCTGTGGACCGTACTGGGTTACCCAGAGACATGATGTCAGCTATACTGCAAGCCATACCACCTGACTCAGCACTGGTCAGGTGACCCAGGGACCCCACAGAGTGCCACCTAGTTCTATAAAGTATCAGCCTTAGGACCTGCAAGCTGAGATCCTTCTCAGACTTTTCTTTCCACCCTGAACCTATCACTTAAGACCTTTTTGGTCTGCTTTGGCTACAGCATCTACCTCCAGCTCCTCATCAGCCTCAAGGCTTCCTCCTTGATGAACTTGGAGGCCCTGATCCTGTTGTCGCTTGGGATGCTGACCCCAGCGAACCCTGAGGGCAAGTAAATTGGCTACCTGTCTCATGAAACACATTCAGATTCATTCAAGCTCAACTGCTCAACCAAGGCTTTGATACTCAGTGTGATGGGGTCAAACACCAACAAAAGGAACCTGTGCCAATATTCTAGCTAGGGACCTGAGCTAGTGTACCTAGCAATAGGAAATCACCCACCTGGGGCAGCATGCGATTTTCCTCCTCCAGCTGTCTTACTCTTGCTTCCAGCTGCCTAACATAGGACAAGGTTGATTCTAAAATTAAAAAAAGACAAAAGAAAAGAACTCTGATTATATACACGTCTACTTTGGCACACCCGAAATCAGAATTAGTCACCGACAGGTGATTTCTGGCTGGGTGTCTTCTGAACAGCACCTATGCAATTACTCTAAGATATATGGAAAAAGCATTCTGTTCTGTCGCGCTCTCTGGATTTGCATTTCCAAGTGTCGGCTGCAGCTAGAAGCCATCTAAGCCTTCAAAGTTTGGGTATTGTCGACTCATTTCCCCCCTCTGTCTATGCAGGATCTAAACTACTGGTCTCAAGGCACAGTTTGGAAGTCACATTTCTCGCCCTGGGTGATGCAGAAGCATGAGGTGTCCATGCTCAGATTCACATGCTAAAAACTAGAGGGACACACATGCTCCCAGATCCACTTTGCATATGTGTCTTAAAAAACACACACATCCAATCTGTTTCTGAATCACCCTGTGAACTCTCTGCTTTGAGCTGTGTTTCAGATTCTGAGCCATTCTGTGTAAAAGGAGGAGTGAATCTGTTCTCCCATTCACCGTAATGGGGAATTAAAAACAGCTAGACCTTCTCCAACTTTGGCCAGAGTGGCTGAAATTTACAGGCACAGGAGCCACTCGCGTATAGATTAAGCCTGCCAAATTGCAGAGAAATTGGTCCAGGGGTTGTTTTTGTGCAGAAAGTAAAAGGGATTCACTTTTCTCCTTAAGAGAAGAAATTGTTGTCTCTTTCTTAGCTTAAAATAATTAAGAGACAGCTGAGTAAGGCATTTTATGTTATGAACTGCCACAGCACACACACACACACATTCATTCATTCATTCATTATAGGGTACATCGAATTCTTAGTTACTCGTTTTTTGAAATATGTACAACTTCATACTGGACTTTCTTTCTGATGTTTGTTTTTGTCATCCGAAAGGCTTTGCTGGCCTCTCAACGCGAGGCTGTCTAGAACGCAGCCTGCAGGGTTGCAAAGAGCAGCTTTTCTGTAATTAAAGCAGAGCAATATAGGATTTTTAAAAAATCTTAAATAAAACTTGCTAGGGTTTTTTTTTTGGGGGGGGGGGTTTAAATCCTCCACTGCTGTGCCTTAACAGAAAACAATTCTGAGTTCTTCAGTGATCTAGAGGCAACACCTTGGACAGCCTCAGTTCTTTCAAAGCCCAGCTTTGCTATTAGTGGGCATTGTTGAAGTTGGGGGAGAATGGGTAGATTGAGAATTTGGGTCTCCCCAAGTTGCTGTAGCTGTCTCCATATAGTGCAGTTATTTAATATCAGGACTTTAATTCTGGAAACATTTTGAAGGCTAACTCTGTTAGCCCTTGTGGATAATTCCTGAACATCTCCTGAGCTATTTATTTATGTATCTGTTCCTGCTACTTATACATTAGTGAAATTGATGGGTTTGGGTTTTATTTAAAAATAAATACATAAAACCTACCATTTTATCACTGCTGTTCATGTCTCTGCAGGTGGTTCTTTTAAGCTCTGTAAACTGCCTTTTCAAGTTAACATTGATGATGATAACAACAATCTCTCTGAAATATGGAATCGAAATATATGTTTCATAGGAATATAGTCAGCTGCCGTAAAGGTTCATCTAGGTCAATATTCCCCACGCTGACTGGCAGCAACTCCTGAGGACTTCAGGCAGGAGTCTTCCCCAGGCCTACCTGGAGATGCTGGGGACTGAACCGGAGACCTTCTACATGCCAAGCAGATGTACTACACCTTCCCTAGGGCAATTGTTGGATTTAAGAGCAGGCATGTGGCTACAGCAAAGCCGTGAGCTCAACAGGAGTTGGCAGACTTGTTTTTGCTGCTGAGGTGGCAGCTCTATTATATCCACATCACCTCACCTGCCAGGCAACCTATGAAATAAAAATGAATGGCAGCGTGCGAGGTTTCGCTCCTTCCCATTCTGCAGCTCGCCGGAGATTTCAATATGCGCACGCACAGGGACTGCGTGTGAATTGCGAAAGACCGAGATGGCAAATCTATTGTGGTTTGTCAGAAGTGATTAATATACAGTGTGCGGTAAACAGGCTAAAAATAGGGCTGTGGGACAGCAGGGAAAGAGGTGAGCTGAGGTTTCATGCACTCTGATGTGCTAAGAGTCGTCACAGCAAGCAATGAGTGAACCTAGGACAACTCAGGGAAATCGGCGCACACCACTGGCAAGTTTTCACGGGAGGAAATCCACTCTTTCAGCACATCCAGGTGGGCTGACAGTTTGGGGACCATGTGCACATCGGGTACCTGCACCCAGGGCCAGCTCCAGGTTCCGGTGTCCTCCATACAGGTGGAGAGTCATGCCACGCTCCTCTTTTTACCACCAGATGGGGAGAGAGGCAGGTGCGTGGGCTTACTAGAAGAGTATGGGTGGCAACAGCAATAGTAGCAAAGTTCTCCAATCTGTGCTAGTTGGCCGCCGCTGTGGTTGCCCACAACGGTGCTGACTCAATACAGAGACAAGGGAACATAGATCTTCTGTCAAGTCAGACCAGTGCTTGGACCACCGGCAGTATTGTCAACACTGTATTGGAAGCAAGGTTTCAGGCAGGAGTCTCTCCCAGCCCTACCTGAAGATGTTGGGGACTGAAGCTGAGCAGATGCTGTAACACTGAGCTATGGCCCTTCTCCAGCGAGAGAGGTGATACCAAATACATGCTGTTAAGATGGGTGGATAAAAAGGTAAAGGTAAAGGGACCCCTGACCATTAGGTCCAGTCGTGACCAACTCTGGGGTTGTGGTCCTCATCTCACTTTATTGGCCGAGGGAGCCGGCGTACAGCTTCCAGGTCATGTGGCCAGCATGACTAAGCCGCTTCTGGCGAACCAGAGCAGCGCTCGGAAATGCCATTTACCTTCCCACCGGAGCGGTACCTATTTATCTACTTGCACTTTGATGTGCTTTCGAACTGCTAGGTTGGCAGGAGCAGGGACCGAGCAATGGGAGCTCACCCCATCATGGGGATTCGAACCACCGACCTTCTGATCGGCAAGTCCTAGGCTCCGTGGTTTAACCCACAGGGCCACCCGCGTCCCAAGATGGGTGGATACTGAGGACCAAACCTTTTTAGTGCCTTTGGAACGCCCCAAAGTTCATAGGGCCTCATTACCGCTAGCTTTTAAGAGAACGCCGAAGTTGTTTTTGTCCCAGGTAAATGTGCTGTGTGTGACTGGTGTTTTGTTTTGTTTTCTTAAGCTGCTGTTGGTTTTAAACTAATGGTTGAAACTGAAAACTGCTGTTGTCGATGGATTGTCCTCGTGACGCGGCTACGTATTGCAAAGCCCTTTTGCAAATGGCCGTGTGATGTTAGAAAAAACTACTAACTAGCAACATGTTGCTTCTTTTGGGGAAGAGGAGTGCTGGTAGTCAGCTTGCCTCTGCGAAAGGTTCAAGGATCTCGTGTTCATTCAAAAAGCCCTAAACAACTTGAGCCCAAAATACCAGCAGGACCACCTAATTCCTCACGCTCCACCTTGATCTCCTGATGGGGCCATGTGAGTGGTCCTCCCCAGGCCTGATTTCAGTCAGCCTTTACAGAGACTGAGCCTTTGGTGTGGTAACTTGCCCAGTGCAACTCACTGCCAATAGAATTCCCATACGTGTCTGAAATATACTCAGAGTCGAGAGTGGATTTCATCCTCTTTATTCAGCTCATAGTGGTGAGGAGGAATGAAAGTCCCCTCAAAGTATCTGCTTTATATACATTATTTACACAATGGGCTGCACGTGATTGGCTAATTCCGGAATTCTCCTGTAGGCCAATCAGGTTGTGGATTCACTTCCATCTGGAGCCGGATTGGGTGGCTCCTGCAGACCAATCATACTGCTGCATTGTTCTAGGACCAATCAGATTGCTGCATTCTGAATCCTATTGTCCTAGGACCTATCAGACTGCTGCATTCTGAATCCTATTGTTCTAGGACCAATCAGACTGCTGCATATTGGATCCTATTGTTCTAGGACCAATCAGACTGCTGCATTTTGGATGCTATTCAACTCAGTACATAACAGTGTCATTCCTGCTTTCATGCCCATCATTTTCACTAACCTGTGCATTTTTAGCCACATTCTCCCCCGATAAGACACATTTTTGAACACTTATTCTGCTGGAGCACTGCACTGCAAAATTCTGAGAATCCGTGTTTTGGCTCTCATATTGTTCTGGGAAGTGCAAAATAGGTAGGCCTCCCCTTAAATGCAAATCGAATCAGATTTCTCCCCAATCCTGATCCAGTCTCTCCTCATAATGCCTAGGAGTGCATAGGACAACATATAAGAGGAAGAAAATACATAAGAAGGGAACGATATAAATGCACATCGTTGCAATGAGCGATGCAACCTTGGAATCATAATGGCGCCATTTCAGCCCTTGAGAAGTTAGTTGGGAGAAATGAAAGAACGGATATCGCAAAGCCAGGTATTGAGTCTGTGTTTGAACTGGGTTTTGTACAGACATCCTGCAGCCAGCTGTGATGATCCTCCTACATACTGAGGGCCAAGCTGTGATGTGGGAGGTCTGTGGTCACGTGGGTTATTCAGGATCTCTCAGCCTCAAATTCCTGTCTGTAGAATGGGTATAGTAGAAGAGAAAGCCCTTTGCAGAAGTTGAAGTGCTGCGAAGGTGCAAATTCATACCAAATAAGGAAGCATTTTTTAAGCAGTTTGCCTCTGGTGAATCAGCGGGGCTTAAAACATTTTCTCAATCACATTTCTTCCCTCCTCCCAAAATGTACACAACAGCCCACTTTTACCTTTGCCACATCTTAACCAGCTTATTTCTCTCTCATCAGTAATTACAAGTCTGTGACCATTTGATTTGCTCATTTCTTTCTGGAACAAAACGTTCTCTCTCTCTCTCTCTCTCTCTCTCTGTGTGTGTGTGTGTGTGTGTGTGTAGCGCTGTTGTTAATTCACTGGAACTCGGAGCCAAGTATGTGCCTCTGATGATTGCTAAATGAAGCCTTAGCACTTGTAAGCTTTATCCTTT